ATAGGCGATTTTTATGAAAGTCTTCAAGACGGGCAATGTCTTCGAAGACAGACAACCAAATACAACCTAGACAATATGCAGTGGAAGATAAACTACACTAGCCATGCCATAGTCAAGGAGATAGTAGAGAGTAAACACAAAGACAGATAGCAGCTAGGTAGAATGGATCAGAATAGGAAGATAGTATGAAGCCAAATATGAAAACAAAGAAAAATGTCTTCACACAGTGAAGTCAAACAGAGCAAGCAAGCAATGACTTCACGAAGCTAAACAGTAAGTAAAGGGTGAAGTGATAGAACTAGTTGCTTGACGAAGACAAGGATTTGGTAGACCAGTTCCAGTTGCTGTGACAATTGTACGTCTGGTTAGGGAGGCTGAGATTGAAATAAGAAGATCGCGTCTTCACCTTATTCCCCTTGAGCTAAGGACACTTAGTCCTCGCCCAATCACTCTGGTAAGTCTTCAAGGTAGACTTCCAAACCTTCACAGACTTCGTTCACCGGTGATCCACAATGACCTTGGATCCTCATAATGCGACACACAACCGACTGGAAGGTCACAATCTTCAAGTGTAATAAGTCTTCAGATCACGCGGATAGAAAGACTTCAGTGATGCCAAACACTCTTTGGTCTTTGGGTGTTTTGGGCTTTGTCCTCGCAAGGATTCTCTCTCAAAGGCTTCGGAGGTGGGTTTCTCTCAAACGACAATAGTCGTGCACTAATTCTAAGGAGCCACCAATTTATAGTGTAGGGGGTGGGCTATTTATAGCCAGGAGGTAACCCGACATGATATGTCCGAAATGACCCTGGGTCACTAAGGAACCTACACATGTCCAACGGTCAGATTTTAAACACACGCGACAGCTTGACTTGGGCTACAAGCAAAGCTGACTCATCCAACTCTAGATAAGATTTTCTCTCATTGTCTTCACTCGAAGACATAGGTTTTGGGTTGAGCATCACATCAGTCTTCTAACTTTGTTCACTTGGACCCCACTTAACAGTTCGGTGGTTCCTATGACTCAGGAAAGAAGAAAACGAAACTACAAAAAAAAACTATGTCTTCACACTCCATTGTATTCAAGTGAATGTCTTCACGAACCACCATTGTCTTTAATGTCTTCATGCATTTTTAGGGGTCATCTCCGACGAGTAAACCGAATCAATGAGGGACTTCTACCTGTGTTCTCCTGTGAATCTCACAAACACATTAGTCCCTCAACCACGTTTGTCATCAATACTCCAAAACCAACTAGGGGTTGCACTAGATGCACTTACAATCTCCCCATTTTTGGCGATTGATGACAAACTGGTTGAAGTTTTCAACGAGGATAAAAATATGTGAAAGTTAAAGTACGTGGTCATTGGCTTCATGAAGTTGAAAGGGCTCCCCCTGAAGATGTGCATATAAGTAATTTGCTTTTGAATGCAAATGCACATTGCAGGTTTTTCTTTGTGGAGATCTCCTTCTGTTCATGAAGTGATGCGGAGCATCCCAAGGTCATCCCCATGGATCTACCTACGTCTCCCACGACACCACTTGGACCAATGACAAGAGCACGAGCCAAGGCTATCGAAGATAAGGTGAACTTGCTCCTCTCCGAACTACCACTTTCTATGCATGAGACATGGCTACTACCTCAAGTGGAAACCCTATGTGTGATCAGGTACTTGGAGGAAAGCCACGGATCAGCTACACCCAATGGACAAGACGGCGAGGACACCAAGCTCAATGGACAAGAAGAAGGACTGCTCGAAACTCCCAGTCACCGGACGACCGGCGACCCTCGGACGTCCGACGAACTCCAGGCACTGGACGACCGGCCCCCTCCGGATGACCGGCGCTACCACACCTGCGCAAAAACGCCGGACTTCCGAATACTACCGGACGACCAACGCCTCGGATATCCGACCCCGACCGGACGTCCGACCCCAGCCCATCCGAGCCGAATCTACGGACGCCCGACAAGCACCGGACGTCCGGGCCCTCGTGAGCCTCCGGACGACCGATAACCACTGCACGTCCGACGCCTGTGTGCTGATTCCGTGTTGGGCCGAAGCCCATGTACCCCCTTCGACCTCTAAGACTATATATAGACCTCCTCCTCTTTTCTAGGGTTAGCGTTGTGATAGCTCATATTAGAGATAGAGCCTCGCGCATCCACATCGGATCTACTCCTCTAGAGAGACCGCGGCCCCTCTACGGAGAAGATCCCCTTGGATTCAAGACCCCCTTTTGGGTGGCCCCATCAAGACCTCCTTTGGAGAAGAACCAGTTACCGTGTATTGTCCCTTGTTGATCGTGGATCGTGTGAACTCTTTCGTGTTCGAGAATCTAGCACATGTGTGATCGTTCTTGTTGGTTTTAGTGTTTCTCTCGTGTTTCCCCTCGTGTTCATCGTGTTCATCGCGGGATCCGCTCCTTTCGTGAAAGATCGGCCATCCAGGGTTCCACCCTTGTAACGCCCTCGATGCGACTATAGCTCCCACGTGTCGAGGCACGACTTAGAGACATAATCGCATTGAAGGCATATGTCGCAAGTTAGGCAATCTTCACAACATCCCATGTAATATGAATAATAAAGGGGAGAACATAGTTGGCTTACACTCGCCACGTCAATCAAGAACATAAATAACATTACATCATCCAAAACACTCATGGCCCGACTACGGCGCCAAAATAGAAGAAAAACCCAACATGCGACAACGGTCCCAATCACCCCCAACTGGGCACCACTACTGATCATCGGGAAAGGAAACGTAGTAACGTTGAGAGTCTTCGTCGAACTCCCACTTGAGCTCGTACTCGTCACTTGGAGAGGAATCACCTGGACCTGCATCTAGAGTTATAGTATCTGTGAGCCACAGGGACTCAGCAATCTCGCACCCTCGCGATCAAGACTATTTAAGCTTATAGGAAGGGTAAGGCAAATACATGTGGAGCTGCAGCAAGCGACTAGCATATATGGTGGCTATCTTATATGCAAAGGAGAGCGAGAAGAGGGGGCAAAGCGCGAGCGAGAAAAACTAGAGGAACAACCTGCACAAGCATTACTCGAACACCGTGTCCACTTCCCAGACTCCGCCGAGAAGAGGCCATCACGGTAACACACTCAGTTGATTCATTTTAATTAATTAAGGTTCAAGTTATCTACAACCGGACATTAACAAACTCCCATCTGCCCATAACCGCGGGCACGACTTTCGAAAGTTCAATCCCTGTAGGGGAGTCCCAACTTAGCCCATG